AGAGAGAGAGAGAGAGAGAGAGAGTGAGAGAGAGAGAGAGAGAAAGAGAGAGAGAGTGGGGAGGGGAGGGGGGAGAGGACAAGCAGAGAAACGTGGGCAGGCCATTCAGGCGCACTTAGACGATAACAGAGGGAAGCGTCATTTATCAATTGGATGAGTAAATAATCTGTAGTGGGATATGTTATGTAGGTAACACCCTTTTTAGCAATACAAGGCTACTGAGAGCAGGGAACCTCCAACTAAAATGAAGCGCGACAGGGCCAAGAGGAACGTCCTGAGCAACATGAGTTCAAGAGTTCCGCTTTAGGGATTCAACAACACAATCAAACCTCAAACCCCACAACTCGTAACTGCTTAGAAACTTGAGAAATAATAATATCCTGCTAGGAGGCTAATTATTCGATCCGACACTATCATAAATTATATCTCCTCCGACACGGACGCAGGTTTTGTCCATCCATGTTAGCGGAGTTATGACAAAGCTTGGTTGTTCCACAAGATGTTGAAGTGCTGTTCCCAATGCTCCTAGTTTTCCTTCTGATGCCATTGAAATTTGTTTAGGTGCGTTTTACAGGGTCGTAAACTTAAACTTGCACTCACAAGGCTTATAATCTATTCGATCTGTCTCTGATTGTCAGCTTCTGCGACTTGTTCTCGAAAACATGAGTTTGATTCCCATTTGATTATTTTCTTTTTGCTTTTTAATTTGGGCTGCTTCTTTTGTATTCTTGACTTTGTGGTCGCTGATTGTTTGATGAAAAAGCATTTCTCAAATACATTCTTTACCCATGAATGTACTGAGTGCATTTCTGTTTTGATGATGAATCTTTGTATTGGTCTGGCACATCCACCCAAAGATCAGTAATGCTTATCTTATCTTATCTTATCTTTAATAAGCCTGCACATTGGTATTTTTTGTTGAAGAGAAAGGCTCATCACTTTGTTCAAGACATAATAATTACCCTTTTATCTGTTTCTTTTCCAGAGAGGAGGCACTGCAAACTGCACAATGCAGAGTTTCAACCTCTGAGTGAGACGCTGGGGTCAGGGATGACTCATTTGACAGTGTAGGTCGTCACCAAAACGTGCGTTCATCGTTAGTGAAAATGAAGTGTGACAATGTAAAAGGTGTTGGATTAAAACAAAAGGAGAAAACTGAGACTTCTCTTCCTTTCATTTGATAATACATGTGTAACAAACTAATACACTTGCATATTATATTATGTGAATGTGTTATTCATGGATTTGGAGACATTACTATGGGGCTATGGCTAATGTTGTTGTTGCTGTTGTTGCTGTTGTTGTTGTTGCTGTTGTTGTTGCCGTTGTTGTTTTTGTTGTTGTTGTTTTCGTTGTCGTTGTTGCTGTCGCTGTTGTTATTTAGCTTTGGAAAGTGCCATATACGATTTGCGTTTTTTTCCTTTCTACCTGCATTAAACCTGCCTTTGAATTTGACCTCTTACATAGATTAAGAGACCAAGCCCTAGCTTGGAGCCCAAAACCACGAAGTTCTGGACCAGGTGCTGGACTGTCGCAACCGTCACGCTCTGAATGAAGCATGTGACAGAAGTGATGCTTTTGTCCTGGTACCTACTGCTGGGGATTCTGTTTTGGATGTGCAATTGTCTCAGTTGATCCATCACCCCCTCCCCCCACCTCCATCCCCCTTCTGCTCAAATCTCCAACCAGACATTTAAAATTTGAGAACGTAGAGAGGGCTGCAGGTAACCTTTTACTGTTAACACCAATTTGTATAAAGTATGTTCCAGTAATCTTGTGTCAATTAATTTGTCTTAATTAGTTGTAAGTAATCGGTTCTGTTCCAAACCTGAACAGTAAATATGTATATTTTCAATCTCAGACGAACGCACAGTAAAAGGCCACCTATCCCGGAGAGGCATGCTTTTCATATCAATATAATATTTTGACGCTGAAAAGACTGCTTTTCACAAGACACCAATACTAAGGGGGAATAAGCAAAAAAACGCACCTCTGCTGCACCATTGTTGATTCAGTTACTTCCCCTCAAGGGGCTCTCGTATCGGATTTGGTGTGTGTGTGTGGGGGGGGGGGGGGGGCGGGGGCATTCAGCACTGAAAGGTTAATTAAAAGGTGGTACCTCCAAAAAGAAAAGACACTTTACACGAATGTTCCTCACTTCCCCCAGGTGGAAATGGGTACCCGGCCATAGACGGTGAAAGATCTTGTCAGTATGTTAGTGTCTTAGCGCCTATAAATGGCTGCTTGCACTGCATGCTTCCCAGGAAGTTGAGGTTGTTTCAGAATACTCTCAGGTCTGCTGGGGTAATAGTATAGATTGTGAAGCGCATAGAGCTTGTTGTTGAGCGGGGATTTGCGCTATACAAATGCTATCTATCTATTATTATTATTATTATTATTATTATTATTATTATTATTATTATTATTATTATTATTATTATAACATGAAATTATGAAAATAATTAGACTTTCAAATGTTGTCTTGTAGAAAGTTTCCATGATATTACTATGTTTCGAATGACTTCACAATACTATCAATATGTTCGTTCTACGACAGCTTGTTGTCAGTTGTCATAATATTATATTGTTATCATGTGTATGCCAGGGTGACCTCATTAATCTCGCCATTTATTTCTTAAGTCAGAACATTTTGGTAAGAACGCCTAATATCAAAATGATCTCTTTGGCTTTACTCAGATTAACTTCCAACAAAAGGCCATTTAACAAAGACATTTACTTCCTCAAAGTACCTTTTTATCCTTGCAATGGATATTCCCTGAGATAGATGAATCATCAGCAAATTGAATGACGGCGTTATCTATTACACAGTTCATGCATATTTACGTACTCGTTGGTGTAGACGGCATATATAAAACTGATGACATGACACAACTCTGGTGTGCACCTGTGCTTCTTCGAGTGACATTATATTACTGTATGTTTCCCAGGAAATTGAGCTTGTTCCAGAATGCTATCCTGTCTGATTGCGTAGTAAGATAGACAACGCATTGTGCTTGCTGTCAAATACAAATTTGCACTGTACAAATGCGATACATTATTACTATTCTGTTGTTTAAATACATTTTTGTTTCATGAAAGCGGGGGTGGGGGTTGGAATGGGTGATGGGATCGGGGGCGCTGTCGCAAGTGTTGGTTCATATTATGTTCTTTAGATTTTGTTGAAATTTAACGCCCAGCTAGACACAGATTTAGGACTCTCGATTGCCCTCTTAAGACAGCATGGGCGTTGAGAAATAACTTAATACTTAGGGAAGAACGAGTTTAATTCTAATTTCTCTTGGATTCGAAACCGTCGGTGTTGCAATTATTGTTCTTGACCCAAACACAATAGGATGGGCAGTGAAAATAGTTTGGATTCAATTTGGATTGGGACCTGGAATTCTCATGTATTAGGTCAAGTTGGTGGCCTGCTCCAGAACTGAGGCAAGCAATTCTACCTTCAAGCGTTGAATAAACAAGTTATTACACTTCACAAGGAATAATGACTGTGGAAAAAGGTATAAGACTCAATAAACGATAACAATGTTGTATTTTAACATGTTTTATTAGGAAGTCGGCATGTCTGTTTCCAATACCCCAGACTGCATCAATCGAAACATAAATACTTTTCCTTTTTCTCCTTCAGTTATTCACTCTGTCTGTCTTTTGCTCTCTCTCTCTCTCTCTCTCTCTCTCTCTCTCTCTCTCTCTCTCTCTCTCTCTCTCTCTCTCTCTCTCTCTCACTCTGTGTCTCTCTCTGTGTCTCTCTCTCTCTCTCTTCTTCTTCTTCTTCTTCTTCTTCTTCTTCTTCTTCTTCTTCTTCTTCTTCTTCTTCTTCTTCTTCTTCTTCTTCTTCTTCTTCTTCTTCTTCTTCTTCTTCTTCTTCTTCTTCCTTTTCTTCATCTTCTTCATTCTCTCTCTTTATCTATCTCGCCCACACACACAAACACACACACGCATATACATACATTCTCATTCTCTCAAAAACAGAGAAATGACAACAAATGTAAATAATGTTGATGGCCACGTTTCGATCTTGACAAGTTCTATCACACAAACAAAGTGAGTGAATTTTATCAGAACATCGACACCTCTGATAACCCACAGTAATAAAATTGTACTCGATCAGTTACGCTGAAAGAAAAAAATAAACATAAATAATGCTACATTGTCTATTTCATGAACACAATATGGCTTTTACAAATTCACAAAGCACGAAAATGTTGTATTCATGCCCAGAACAAACCAAGGATTTAAAGAAAGACTTAATCAGCAGTTTTAACACTAGTACTCACTGATAATAGCACAGAAATATGAAGAATTGTGGCCAAGGTAAAACTTTCCACAAACAATGATAAAGTCAAAGTCAGTTCTCGCTTCTGTGTGTGGACGGATTGACTGGTAATAAAATGATTATGACCTAGACTAGATTGGCATCTTTAGCCATGCTGTAGAAAGCTGACGTTTGGTCTGCCAAAAGTTTTTGCGGCGCGTCAAACTCTTTGATTTTGCCCTGATCCAGCACCATGATGCGGTCATAGTCCATGACCGTGTTGAGTCTGTGGGCAATGGTCAGCACAGTGCACGAACGGAACTCGGACCTGATGGTTTTCTGGATGAGCTCATCCGTCTCCATGTCCACTCCGGCTGTGGCTTCGTCCAACACCAGGACTGGACTCTGCCTCAACAACGTACGGGCCAGACACACTAACTGGCGCTGACCCATGCTGAGATTCTTTCCGCCCTCCCCGCACTCATGGTCCAGCTGATCTGGCAAGCCTTCTACAAATGTCTTCAGGTGGGAATGCTTCAAAGCTTCCCACAGCTCCTCAGATGTCTTGTCTCCGAATGGGTCGAGATTCATTCTGAGAGAGCCTCCAAAAATCACCGGGTCTTGGGGGAGAATGGAGAGTTTGCTTCTCAGGTCGTGCAGCCCGATAGGGGCGATGTGTTGGCCGTCCAGAGTTATCTTCCCTACAGCTGCTTCCACAAGGCGGAAGACAGAGACTGTGAGCGAGGACTTCCCGGCACCCGTGCGTCCCACGATACCGACCTTCTCCCCACTTTTGATGTGACACGTCACACCTTTCAGCACCAGATCCAGACCCTCTCTGTACCTAGTTTGGTAGTTGTCCAAAACAAGATCCCCGCTCTCCGGCCACTGAGTGGAGAGAGAAAGTTCAGCTTTGTTCTCCTCCTCTGTCTCCCACGACGCTTCCGTTGGTTTATTGGAGTAATCGACTACGCGCTCTAAAGAGATGAGTTCTGTCTCCGTGTGGCAGGAATGATGCATGACCCAGCCAAGGCAGTGCATGAAATTGGTGGCATACATCAACACCACACCGGCCCTACCAGGGCTAATGCTGGTATCCCATAACAACAGCAGACCAGAAATGAGGGTGACTGCCGAACACAGAACGGTCATGCGCATGCGGAACCAGGCATGAAACCAGTGCTCTGACATTTCAAACTTCATCAAGTTCTCTAGCTTGTCCTCCATCTTGTTGATAAACCGCTCCTCCACGCCATACGCCCTCACGGAGTCAGTTCCATTGAGGGTTTCGTTCAGGTGAACAAACACAGGAGATCGTGACTTCTGTCTGTATCTGCGAAGTTGGCGCAAGTTGGCGATGAAGACACGCTGCATGGCGAGATACACAACCGTTACTGGGATCATGTAGGGAATAATACTGGGGGTTGTGTAGAGGACCATGCAAAAGCAAACCGATAGCCAGCCCACAGATGCTATGTAACCGCGAAGACAGCCTCCTAGCCCGTCCACAGAGCCGATGTCCTTGGAGAACCGGTTGATGATCCTCCCGGTGGGTGTGAGGTCGAAGAATGACATGGGAGATCGTAGGATGTTGAGAAGTAGCTTGTTGTGGTGATGTTGGGCGGCCTCACAACCTCGGCATAGCACCAAGCTGATGAACCCGAACGAAAGAAGGACCTCAGCAACACCGTACATGGTAAATGAAGAAAGGTAATTCCAAGTTCTGTCTGTGTATTCCTGAGTTTCAGCGAGGAGTCGGTTTGAAAGGAGATCATCATCAGACCATTTCGCCATCAGATGATCTTTGCTTTCATTAAAGTACATGTGTAGTCCGAACATGACAATACACATAATGCAGTATTTAAACCCAAATGCTTTCAAATAGTCCATGTACACCTTTATTCCTAACGTACCAACTTGTGTTTCTTCTTCATCTTCCTCGGCAGTCCCTTCTTCTGTGTCCTTAACCTCGTCCTCCATATTATTACTGCAGTGTTCAACTTCTTCGGTCTTGGAAATGTCCTCAGTTTTTTCAAAGGGTTTATCGTCTTTATCAGACACTGTCTCCTCTTCATCAAACGTTGATCTTTTGCTCTCACACTCGTTCTTCCCCGTCATGCTTACTTGTTGCACAAACTGTGAGAAAACGCCATTTTGTTCCAGCAACTGTTCGTAGGTTCCCGACTCTTGGATCTGTCCATCTTTCATAACAAGAATGGAGTCAACGTAGGGCAACCAGTGCACGCCATGG